CGTGCGCCCCGCTCACTCACCCTCCCCTAGGTGCCCCGCGAGCGCTGCCGCGTCTTCGACCCCGTCTTCTCCGCGCTGGACGTGGCCGTGCTGGCCGAGCTGGGCCTGGCGGTCGTCTCCGAGAACGAGGTGAGCCCCGCTCCCGTGGGGTTCAAAGGTCGGACGGGTTTTGCCCTCCTCAACGGGGCTCGCGTGAGAGGGTCACAGGACGCAACGCTGCTCGTTTGCTGGGGGGGATTTGAGCCCCGGTGCTCGCGCAAGGTCCCTCCCAGCCCTAACGCGTGGCCGTGCTGGCCGAGCTGGGCCTGGCGGTCGTCTCCGAGAACGAGGTGAGCCCCGCTCCCGTGGGGTTCAAAGGTCGGACGGGTTTTGCCCTCCTCAACGGGGCTCGCGTGAGAGGGTCACAGGACGCAACGCTGCTCGTTTGCTGGGGGGGATTTGAGCCCCGGTGCTCGCGCAAGGTCCCTCCCAGCCCTAACGTCCGCAAAATCTACGCAGGAGGGGAAGCACCCCGTGGGCGACGGCACCACCCTCTTCTACATGATCCACTGCGGGAAGGCGTTGTATAACAACCTGCTGTGGAGCAACTGGTCGGTGGCGGCGCTGTCCAAAATCATCATCGTTGGGAACAGCTTCCGGGGCATTGAAGAGAGGTGGGTAGGTGGCGGAGGAGAGGATGTTCTCCTGCCCTCCCCGAAGGCCGTGCCCGCACCCGCTTCTCAAGTGCTCGGAGACGGGGACACGGGCTCTTTTCATTCAGCGCCAAACGAAAAGGAGCGTTTCATTTGGCGCTGAAGGCGCGTACGAACGAACGTGCGCGACTCGCAGGGACGTTAGCGCTGTGATGAGAGCGGGGCCGAGGCGAGCTCTCGTCCTTCGCGAGCGGCCATCTGAGCGGGTGTCTCCGAGGTCTGTTTTCCTCCGGTAGTGCCAATCTGTGACCGGAAACAACCAGAAGGGTGGAGTTACAAGGCGTTTTTTAGCCACGCGAGGGTCTGCGGCTGGTGGGAACAGTGCCCGTAGCTGGGGCAGCACCGCTTTGCTCGTGAAAGCGGCCCCTGGGGTGTAAATCGAGGTGGCGGCCTATAAGTATGGAAGGGGGCGTACCAGGATCCGGGAGAGCGTTCGGGGCACCCTGGACAACCTGTTTTTGGCTGCATATTAAGAAAAACTTCTTTACCGTCCGAGTCTCCAGAGTGTGGAATAGGCTCCCTGCAGAAGTGGTGCAAGCACCTCGTCTGGATACCTTTTAAGATGCCCATCTTGCTGGGATCATTCGACCGCAGCTGATTTCCTGCCCCGTGGGCAGAGGGCTGGACCCGACGATCTCGTGTCCAGTCCACGAGATTCATAGCCCTCATGTCTATGAAATCAAAACTGGCTGGTTGCTGGGAGCCTCTCAAGGGCAGCAGAGAATTAGATATTTGTTGTTACTATTATTACCCTGGCTCTTGCCAGCCAGGATGCGCTCCCTGTCCAGATGCTGTTGGCCTCGGGAAGCTTTTGCACGAGCCGCTCCGACTGGCAGTCAGCCCTGGGTTCTGAGTATCTCCAGGTTTAGTTTCTAAAGCGGTGCCCCCAGCCTGCGCCGTATGGCAGGTTTGCAGTGCAACTCGGTGCTTTTCCTCTACGTGCGCTGCTGCGAGCTGTGCTCAGAGCCGCCTTGCAAGAATTCCCTTTGTTCGAGTTGGTTAGAAACAACCGTTGGACTTAAGTGCTTGAAAGGTACGCCACCCACCGGCCAGCTGCATTTTGCAGGCGCTGAATTAAGCAGCGAGGCTGACACCATTCATCTAAATCTAAGCCCAACGCCAAGGATTTAAAACTGTCATCTTGTGCTTTCCTTGGAACACTTTTGAGGCTGGCACGGATTCAGCCTTATACACGTTGTCTTACTTCCTTCTGTTGTTCACATATTAGAGCAGTAAAGAGCACGTGGCCAATTTGGGGAAATGCCACAGTACTTCAAGTGATTTTGGGTCCTAAAGTTGGTGTCGTTTTCTCTTTAGGTTGCCGTCAAGAATATTAGAGAGAGATTATTCCTACATAGCAAAGGTATGACTTCCTACTTCATAAACACATCTAGTCTAGTGCATTCGGTGGGGAACCCCGAAGTTACTAGATACCAATGGGGAAACAAAATCAGGTGGCAGTAGTTTCGTGGCAGACAGCAATGCCTCCGACTGGAGTCAGCTGGTGTATTTGCTGGACAAAACTCTCCAGACAGGGCATCATTCTGGCTTGATGCTCCTGTTCGTTAAATAAAATAAAATAAATTCTCATTTCCATTATGTTTTGCCCCAAGGTGGAAACGAATTTCTCTTGTAGCTCATACCAGTCTGCTTACTATTTACAGGTTTTAAAAGGAACAGAAGAAATTCCACTTCCCACTCACCCTCAGTATGCAGATGTATTCAACGACACTTCTGTTCACTGGTTCCCTTTAGCCAAACTCAAGGAGCTCCCGTGTGACACCTGGCTGTTCCAGGAAGAGCCAACATACCAGGAGTGTGAGGACCTCGAGATCATCCGGAAGCAGGACAAAGGGAGCATTTTAAGGTCAACCCAGAATGAAGTGGAGTCTTAACAGTTCTGTGGCTTGGTGCCGTTTTACAGGGCGACATTCATCTTCTCTTTTATTAACTTATGTTACGTTGATGCCTGACACCGTGGACCTCAGCTGTCGGCTGGCTTGACATGGCCAGCTAGAAACCTTGAAGGCAGCGGTGCCTGCAAACAGGGGTAAATGGGACACACTTTTCTCTAATAGCGTGAAAATGACACCTTGGCTGATGCTATTTGTAACGACAGTAAACTCGGTTTTGTACTAAACACCATTGTCCTGCGATTTAGAAAGTAGTGGTATGTGCAGAATCAGCCACTTCCTGTGCTGTAGCACCCGCTCTCCCTAATCGCCCCAGAACAATGCAGAGCTTATGCTGATCTTTTGGGTAGTTATTCCCAAATGAGCACGGACAGATTTTGAGCCTTTACAGGGGAAGAGGGGATATTACAATTTGAGGGATTTCCATCCGCCATTCAAACCAGGGGCTCTGGAGGCTTTTATGCTCTACGGGACTGACTGCCTGTTCAAGTCTGGAGCATTTGGGGGAAGGAAGGATCAGGCCTTCTGCACCTTGCGCTTACAGAATAACAAGTTGTTCCCAAAGGATGTCCCAAGCAGCAGCTGGAAGGACCCCCCAGCCCTCCAGTTCAGCGCTCTGAGTGTTGGGGGAGCCCTCAGCCTCCCAAACCTCTGTGTGCTGGGTGGGAGCCTGCAGGAAACACTGCTGCGGAGGCAGCACAAAAGCCCTTGCCCTGTTCTGTTAGCCTGACCTCTGCTTATCCACATGCAGACGCGCTGCCTCTGTGGCCAATCTAGCCTAGAGGGGAGGCTTGTTCTACTCTGACTTACGAATACAGAAAGCAGCAGCAGCTAGCATCTCTGCCAGCTGCTACGTCAGGCTGCACTGCTAAGAGACAATCCTGAAAATCCATCGGGTCTACAAAGCTGTCACCTCTTTATTGTAACAAAACAGCACTAACGTGGGTGGGGGGATTTCACAGTCCTTATATACAACATGCTCAGCTCTGAGCTGGCTGCTTATTTAGCCATATCAATGAGGCTCTGCAGAGAAGTCGGGACCCAAGTCTTTTCTCCCTGTACGAACACAACGCCCCGGTCGATGTAAATCACGATCCGCCCAAACGTGTACAGCTGCTTCCCCTCGTGTCGCTTCCCAATCACAGGCATGAAGACAATGTTGTGCTCCTCTGCTTTGGTCTGGATCAGGTCCTTAAAGTTCATGGGCACGGAGCTGGCGGCCATGCCGATGCCCCGCTGGGCCATGTTCTCTGCCTCTCGCCGCTCTTGCATGGCTTCGTACTGGAAGTCCTTCCTCCGCTCCGTGTGAGTGAGATAGGCGATGTTCTCCCGGGCGCCTGGTTGCATGTAGCCGCCTAGGGGGGCAAAGAAAGGTGGAGTCAGGGTCCCAAGTCGCTTGCAACTGCACATCGGTGGAGAAGCCAAACCCTGGGATACAGAATGTGACTACAAAGAGAAGGGCCCCACCCTGCTGTAGGCATTTTAGCTCCCTAGCTGCTAACCGAAACGGGAGGGTATGCAGGCAACACATTCCCTGAATCCATTCCAGTGTGCTCAGGTGAAGTGTGCAGATTCAGGGCAGAAAAGAGGCACTCCAGTGGAGTCTGAACAATGCTGAGTGCAGTGCCGTGGCCTCAGCAGCCCTCCACCGACCAGTTTCCCTCACTTTCAAGACTTCTAATAGCACTTAGCCTAGTTAAAAGTCTTGAATGGGAGGGAAGCTGGTCAGTTTGGGGGCTGCCAACACGTGCACAGTGGTGTCAGCAGTAGCAATGAGCACTGCTGGTAGGAGCAATCCCTGAACTGAGCAGCTCTGGCCCTGTTCACGGTCCTGAAAGCAGTTAGCTATGGAGCAGACAGATGCAGCTACAGTTACTGCACAGGCAGACAGGGTGCCACGTGTAGAAACAGTTTATGCCCTTAGGTGATGAGCAGCTAAGTGGAGCGTCACTGCACGAACAAACGAAGCAAGCAGGGATTTGCCCTGTGCCAGGCAGCTCAGCGAGCTGCGTGCTTTCCCAGGACACACGTAGGCAGAGGGTGCTAGCAAACCATGGCAAGATGGCAGGGTTCAGTGCAGAAAGACCCTGACTGCATGTACCCTGGGAGCTTACAGGCACGGCTGTGGCACTGGGGCAATGAGGGAGATCGCAGGCAAGCAGTGCTCTGCTGCTGCAAGACCGGGTCAAGCCACTTGCCCCCTTTCCTGCAGTTAATTAGTGCAGTACAAGCAGGCCCTGCTGAGAAGCTAGGCAGGCCAGCAGATCTCAGCAGCGGGGAGGAGCTGTTCTCAGCAGCTTTGTTTTGCTGAGTGGCTGTCTGCAGTAGCCTACTAGGCCTTCTTGCAGGTGAGCTCCCTGCCTTGTGTACTGCGTGCCTGTGGCTGTGGCCCGTTTCACTATGTCCAGAGCTGACCCTACACAGCCCCCGTCTGCCGCTGAGTCTTGCCAGAAGGTTATCCAGCAAACATGGAGAGGAGCAGGCTAGGAGGTTCTCCCTAACTTCTAGAGGGCGACACAGGGGCTGGGGCATGGACTGGGAAGCCGAGGGCTTGTTTCCTCCCCGAATCTGTCCTGCCACCCAGCCGCCTGCTGTTCACAACAAAGAGCCCAGGCTTCTTGGCAGGGTACCAGGTCGTTAAGCCACAGTCCCTCCATTATTGACGCACGCCAGATCCCAGATATATTTAGAGGCTTAACCACTTAATACTATCTACCATGGCCCTTTATATATGGAAGCAGCAAATTTCCAGAAACCAATTAATAATTCAGACAAGTGCAGGGACCAGAAGAGATAACCCTGCAGAGCTGGCCATCTATGACACAGCAGGCAAAAGCAATTTGTATGAGTGCTGATGGCAGGAGCTACCGAGAGGCCAGTTAGCAGGGGCTCTATCTGAATAGACTCAGGCAGCAGCGAGGTACTGCTGCATTGTGAAACACTAAGTAGAATAGAAGAGGGAAAGCCTTACCGACGCTGGAGGAGACAGCCCGGTTCATGATATCAAGTGCTTCATTAAACTTCTCCTTGATTGACGGATGCGCCAAGACCTGGTCTGAGAACATGGATTTCCAGCCAAGGTACCACTTGGTGATCTCTTCGTAATTGGGGCTGTTGCTAAGCCAGGAGCACAGCACCTGCAACACAATCCAAAAGACCAATCAACAGGATGGGACAAGTCTCCCCAGGTCAATTAGTTTGGCTCTGAACAAGCTTAGTGAAAGAGCAGGGCCAGTGGCGGCACCTGCTGACAGCTGCGAGAGCCTTGTTAGCGGCAAACGCTGCGATCAGGGAACATGGAGTCGTGACCGAGAAGCACGCAGTGAGCACACCACCATTCCTCCTCACAGGCTGTGCTCTGGGCCAGGATAGTGACCCCACGTTAACAACAGACAGCTCTCTTACGGGGCAAGACTGAGCACCTTCCCAGCCAGCTGGCCTGAGCCACACACCTGCAGCCACTTGGGGAAGAAGTGCTTCTCCAGCAGCCCAACGAGGCTGGACACAGAGATCATGCCTGCCCAGTCGACCACCCAGTAAAAGGCATCCATGTGCTGCTGGTGAGGATTAATGACGAGCTCGTGGAGGCACATCCCTAGAGAAAGAAGAGGGGCAGTAAACAAGAATGGCTGTGCTTGGAGACCAGCTTCTTTAGCTGACAAGCAGCTCAGCACATTCTGCTCCAACAGCAGTAGCATCCCATACCCTGCCCAGCAAAGCATTCCCCTCTCTACTCTGATTACCCAGAGACCTGTCCTGCCTCCGAAAGGCCTGTTGGCTTCACCTCTAGCATTTACAGTTTGCAGCGAGAAGTGCAAACTCAAAACCTCACTCCAGGCTCTACTTCCCAGCAGAGACGGGTTTGCCAGCGTGAATGAAGAGCTGTCTGGGGAAAAGCTAGCCTGGAGAGCAGGCCAGCGTGCAACACGGCAGATCCCCTTCCACTCCTCTTCCCTCAACTCAGGCTGGAGGTTCTAGACCAGTAGCTTTCAAGCTTTTTTCATATGCGGATCCCTTTGGAAATTTCGAATGGAGGCGTGGACCCCCTTGCATTGTAAGTGTGGGTATTCATATACTTCTCATTCATCCTAGTCATCTTTCAGTCATCACATATTCCGCAGACCCCCAGGGGTCTGTGGACCACAGGTTGAAAACCACTGGTCTAGAGCCATACAAAGCAGAGGAACTACCAAAGTGAGGCCCAGGAGGAAAAGAAGGCCCCTAGGGTGCCGGGCCAAGGAGCCCCCTTTGCAAACACTTCCCTGGCCCACTGCCTATAACACAAAAACAGTAATAAAATACAACTGGGACAACTTCTCAAATACCACCCATCACAAAATGTGCTGTTCTCTGGGGTGCCATCTGTCTCCAGTGTCACCGTCTCCCAGCGCCCTCACCTAGCTTGGGCACAATGTTTTTGACCATGAAAGCTTCCCACGATCCGGGCGTGAACACGTCCTTCCAGGGCTGCAGGATCAGCTTGGCTGAAGAGTCGCTGGGGTGCCACTTCTGCAGGGCATTCGCCAGCTTGTTTCGGATCGGAGAATACAAGGGCTCTAAGCGAGCCTGCATCAGCGGCAGCCAGGGGTGAATCCACGAGTGGATCGGGACAGTGTCTGTCAGAGGGTTCCAGTTTTCAACCTTGAAACAAGACAAGAGAGTGCCGGAACTGAAACAGATCCATCCATCCCAGGACTCCTTTGAAGCTCTTTCACTGCCCCCAGTGATGCCCAAAGGCACCCCAGAGGCTCTCGGACAATTGGAGGAGACTGGCATTTGAGCACTGGCTCAGCACCTGGCATCGGCCTAGTGTGACTTTGTCTCTCACCTCCTTCTGTAGCTTGGGGAAGATGAGCTGGTCCAGAATGTTATCCAGTATCCAGACAGGGATAACATGAACCCAGCTGTCTAGGAAGTCCACCATTGGGCCACAGTTTCTTGGCTGCCATTGTGTTATGATGTTTCTCACATATGGCATCCAGATTTCCCACATCAGCCTGGAAAAAACAGTCACAATCAGAGCTATGGCCTAGAACTGAAATAGACCCAATAGGTAACTCTTCCACGTGAGCAATTAAAAAGCACTACTTTTTTTTGGAACCTGCTCAGCACTCAATTTTAACATACGACACATTCACCCGTGAGACTGGGGGTCATCTGATGATCATTCTGCAGATGACATCAAGCTGGGGGGGAGTACTGGATATACAGGAGGGTAGGCCTAAGATTCACAGACACCCAAACAAATTGGAGGATTGGGCCAAAAGAAACCTCATGAGGTTCAATAAGGACAAGTGCAAAGTCCTGAACTTCGAACGCAGCAATCCCACGCACCAGTACAGCCTGGGGGCTGACTGGCGGGGCAGCAGCTCTGCAAAAAAGGACCTGGGGGCGACAGTGGACAATAAGCTAACGGTGTGCCCTTGTTACCAAGAAGGCTAATGGCATCCTTCTGGCGATCCACTGGCTGGAAAATTGGCTCCGGGGTCAGACCCAGAGGGTAGTAATCGATGGAAGTCACTCATCGTGGTGTCCTGTGACCAGTGGGGTCCCCCAAGGCTCTGTCCTTGGACCCATACTGTTCAACATCTTCATTAATGATGTGGACACTGGAGTCAGAAGCGGACTGGCCAAGTTCGCCGATGACACCAAACTTTGGGGCAAAGCATCCACACCAGAAGACAGGCGGGTGATCCAGGCTGACCTGGACAGGCTCAGCAAGTGGGTGGACGAGAATCTGATGGTGTTCAACGCCGATAAATGCAAGGTTCTCCACCTTGGGAAAAAAACCCCGCAGCATCCTTATAGGCTCGGCAGTGCTATGTTGGCTAGCACTATGGAAGAAAGAGACTTGGGGGCCATCATTGACCACCAGATGAACATGAGCCTGCAATGTGATGCTGCGGCTAGTAAAGCGACCAAAACGCTGGCTTGCATCCATCGATGCTTCTCAAGCAAATCCCGGGACGTCATTCTCCCCCTGTACTCGGCCTTAGTGAGGCCGCAGCTGGAGTACTGTGTCCAGTTTTGGGCTCCACAATTCAAAAAGGATGCGGAGAAGCTTGAGAGAGTCCAGAGAAGAGCCACGCGCATGATCAGAGGTCAGGGAAGCAGACCCTACGATGACAGGCTGAGAGCCCTGGGGCTCTTTAGCCTCGAAAAGCGCAGGCTCAGGGGTGATCTGATGGCCACCTACAAGTTTATCAGGGGTGACCACCAGCATCTGGGGGAACGTTTGTTCACCAGAGCGCCCCAAGGGATGACGAGGTCGAATGGTCACAAACTACTTCAAGATCGTTTCAGGCTGGACATAAGGAAGAACTTCTTTACAGCTGGCTTCCTGCCCTTCGGGCGGGGGGCTGGACTCGATGATCTTCCGAGGTCCCTTCCAGCCCTGATGTTTATGAAATCTATGAAATCCTGGGCTGCATTGCTAGGAGTATTGCCAGCAAACTGAAGGAAGTGATTCTTCCCCTCTATTTGGCACTGCTGAGGCCTCATTTAGAGTTGTGTGTCCAGTTTTGGGCCCCCCACTACAAAAAGAATGTGGACAAACTAGAGAGAATCCAACAAAGGACAACAAAAATGGTTCTGGGGTTGGGGCGCATGACTTATGAGAAGTGTCTGAGGGAACTGGGCTTATTTAGTCTGCAGAAGAGAAGACCGAGGGGGATTGAATAGCAGCCTTCACCTCCCTGCAGGGGGGCTGCAAAGAGGATGGAGCCGGGCTGTTCTCAGTGCGGGCACATGACAGAACAAGGAGCAACGGGCTCAAGTTGCAGGAAGGGAAGTTGAGGTTAGATATTAGGAAGAACTTTCCTACTAGGAGGGTTGTAAAGTACTGCAACGAGATAACTAAAGAGGTGGTACAATTTCCATCCTTGAAGTTTTTAACACTCAGCAGGACAAAGCCTTGGCTGGGATGATCTAGTTGGGGAAGGTCCTGCTTTGAGCAGGGGGTTGGACTAGATGTGATCTCCTGAGGTCTCTTCCCTCATTTTCTATGATTCTATGATCTGGAAAGTGCACTCAAAGCACCTCTGGAAGATGGTGCATACGAGTCCAGCCCATGAGCTGGTTACCTGTGAAAGGCATCTGTGGTTAGGTCCTGCCCACTGAGAGACAACAGCTGATCATTTTCTAAGAGGGTTTTCCACTTGGCTATAACATCTGTGCCGTATGTGCAGTCCTGAAAAGGAATGGAGCAGAGCAGCCTTTAGCCTTTATTCCTCCAGACCAGTTAGCACACAAAGGGGTGGGGGAAATACAGCTAAGAGTATGGGCTGAGCAAGACAGTTCTCTCTCCCAGCCCCTCTGCCACACAGCCAGCAAGCAGAGGCCTTTAGCAGACCACAGGGGTGAAACCCTGGAGTGTCTTTAACATAAAGCAGCAAAGAAAGAGAAATCCAAGAAGCTGCACCTTTCACATGTACAACTACGATGCAGATGGTTTTGCTATTGCCTACTGAAGGCCTTTGCTTGTGGGACAGCGCGTGCCTCTTCGATGAGTTAAGCAGACACTCTTACTTGCCACAGTGAAACCCCGGCCATTGTGTTTTCGTTCTCTGCACCTCCCCTCTGATAAACGTAGCCCCTTTATAAGAGCCTCCATGGACTGAGACACCCCTCATGTCTCGAGTCACTTTGGAAAACCATGGCCTTCACTTTAGCAAGATGCAGCGCCACACCCTCCTTCCAACAGCAGGGGAAAGGGGATCTCCCTTCAAATTTCCCTTTATCCAAGTATGTTAGGACCATACTGCAAACATAGGAGCAAAGCCACTCTCTTACCATGTAATCCATGCTTCAGATCAAAGCAGGGTCCCCAGCACTTTTATCAGTCCTAACCAATAAACAGTGCGAACAAGGCAACCCTAGGCTCACCTTGAGAGGATCCCAGTTTTTGAAGTAATCCTTCATGAGAGGAAACACAATAGCCACGGCCAAGTCCACCCTGTCGGACATGCGATACTCCTCGTAGTATTTGTCCTGCAGGGTCCCAAAGATCTTGGCGCACTCATCCAGTGTAAGGGGGTTGCTGCAGTTGGGCATCATCCGCCTCTCGCACTCCTCCACCATCTCCAGCACCTTGCTGAGGTTGCCAATGGCCGTCTCCTCGTGCGTGAGAACTTCCGATATCTTCTGTATCTCGTGGGTCAGGTTGATAACCATGTCCCTCTCGTATTGTAGTTGCCGGTCATTCTGGATGATCTCCTGCTCCGTGATATCAATCAGAAGCTGCAAGTTGTGCTCCAGCTCTGGCAAGGCAAATCCTTGGGGCTTGGAGTCTTTGCCCAGTGGCTGCTGAGGGCTGTCATCTGGAATATTGTGCTTGTGGCTGATTTGACTGTAGCTGTAATAGACCTTCTGTTCGCGGCCAGTCATGTCGATAACCTTCCGAGAAGAAAACACACAACTGAAAGATCCGACTTTGTGTTTCCATTTGAAGGAAAGATTTCCCCCACCCTGGACTGGGAATCACCGGCTTCCATGTGATTCAGAAACTCAGACTGGACATTAACACCATCAAGTTATCTGAACCAGACCAATTAAGATGGAGCCCTAGAAATTTAGGGGCTGCTCTACATGTGGCTTTAAGTGCTGGCTACAGAGTTTGGGTTAGAGATCAGGCCTTTTTTGTCTATGGACAGACAGAGACAGACAGTTCCTCTCCCCTCAAGTCTATTATTTCACTTGAGGAGCATAGAAAGAAATTGGGGTACATAACGGTCTGCACGCTGCTGCTGGAGCAAAGCCATCAGCATTTCTATTCCCTGTTACAGAAATGTGATTCCATCCAGGCAGAAGTCTGTCTGCACCAACGACAAATCCAGTCCCTGCTCCCTTGGGATCAAGCATCCGATTCACCCAATTGCTATTTCTGATCCTACCACATTGTGCAGGTATGCTGCCACCCTCGTCATTCTGTCTGTCTGGTTAAAGAACAAGCATCTCTCAGACAGCACCCTATGTCCCACGTGCTGCTGCTTTGGACAACAGTCTTACCTTAACTTGGGACAGCTCTTTCTGAGGGGCTGAGAGCTGCTTGCCAATCCTGCCCTTGGCTTTCAGTTCCTCCACAGTCTTGTAGGAGTATTTGGGTTTCTTCTTGCCTCCGTTGGGATCTTTTCTCCACTGACTGAGATCTTTCTGGAATGCCTAAATAAAAAGCCATGGTTAGCCCAGAACTGCAGTGTTGACAGCCCTGGATGTGAGCCATGAGATTCTTCACTCGAGAATATTTCAGTTGCAGTTCGCTCAGAATGCAGCACAGAAAGAAAATGAGTGAAGGCAAACAGATAAAGCTGAACGGCCAATTACTAGCTCAAACCTGGGGCCTAGTCAGTCACATCGCAACAGGTCTGGAAACGTACAGTTCCGTCTATTCCCAGGATGGAAAAAAAATCATCACCACCCATTCCCAGTACCCTAGACAAACCAGAAGGTTTGACATTTCTGGAATGCTTTTAGGCAAGGTCCCAGCAGTGAGGATGACACCCTGCAATAAGTTTCTCTGGGATCAGCTAAAGGTTTTCAAGACACAAAGGAAGAACGTTATATGTCAAGAGGGAAAAGCCCAACTTCTGCGACTACGGCTTCCTGCACACAACTGAGGAAAATGTCCCTTGAACATATAATGCCTCAGTGTCTAAACTGGGCTTCACACTGTGTGGAACAGCCACGTCAGGAGCTGGACTTACCTCTTCTGCTTCTTCTTCTGAGTCAACAACAGGGAAGTCCTGCAACGACTGACTGGTTCGCTCAGAGCCATACGCACCCACAGCTCCTTTGCCTTTCCTTTGCTTGGCCTCGATCGGACTGATGATACCTGGCGAGGTTTGCAATAGCCATGTCAGCCACAAAGGACAGCCCGGGATTCTCCACAGCTAAACAGTGTTAAGGACCGTAAAATTACCAGCTGCTTTTTAAGTCTGTCATTGTGTGTACAGCTGATCTGCCCAGCCAGTGACACCTACTGTGTTCCTTTTAAAACACAGACTGTTGCATCCAATTTCACCTCCAATTTACTTCTTCCCCTTCCCATGCTACATAGAGAGAGTCTGCCATCTCCCACCACAGGCCAGTCTCACGTTATCACAGAATACGAATACATATGTATTTTATCTTGCAGACCAAACACCTCAAGAATCCCTGACACACCCAAACTATTGTGCAGGGGCAGGAAGGGGACGCCGTACCTTGAGCATTTTTTCCAAGACCCCTGCCAGGGACGTAACCCATTTTCTGAAGAAGTTTTTGTCCTATTCCCTTGGTGTGTCTCTCCCAGCTGCCAAAGTCCATGAAAGACTTATTCCCTCCTGCAAATCCTTTCTGGCTGGGTTTGAAATTACCACCCTGTTAAAAAAGAAACCAATATTGCTAAATAGTGTAACAAGCTAGGTCCTTGTAAGCTCTCTCAGGAGAAGATCCTTTCCAAATGGAGACTCAGCAGCTCGCATACTGTGCTACTTCCTCTCCTGCTCACTAGGTGAGAAGCTTCCTCAACATATTGGTGAGGGTTGTGAAGTTGTATCCACATTTTCATTTAAGGCTAATAATTATAAGCCTTTACCATGGGCTGAAGTCAAAAGTAGTTGTGGAAGCTTTGTGCGTCTCAACAGAGAAAAAAGGGGCACCGATTTTTAATCACATTAATTGGTAATTTGCTCAAGCTAGTCACATTCAGTGCTATCAACAGAAACTGCGGTCTGACCACATTTACAGCTGAAAGGATGGAAACAAAATGCAGCCTCTTATTTGTTATAACTCCAATCTCCTCTGCAAGAACACTCATAAAGGGGCAAACCTTGCAAGGGCCAGGAAGGCCCATCAACCCATCAAATGCACAAAAGTGAGGGGAAACTGCCTCCACAGCAGAGGATGAAATCACAGACCTGTGGGCAGCATGACAGCATCATTCTTTTTTTCATCTGCTGATTTAATGTCCTAAAGTCTAGATACTCCTGTGACGGGGGCTACACGAACATCTTTAACAGGGTTGCTCATTTTAAGAATAACTCACCGTTTTTAACTTCTTTGGTACAACCTCTTTGGGCAATTCTTCCTGCTTAATAGGTTTCTCATCATCCTCGTCCGAGTCATCTTCCACCTCCTCCTCTGCTGCAGGCTTTCGCAGCCCGGCGCTGATAAAATTGACAGGGGCCGAGTAGTCTCGAGATCTGTATAAGGAAATCACGTTAAAGAGGCATTTTTAGAACTGCGTGCGTCAGAGCTCTTCCACTGGGGCAGCAGCTGGAACACAGTCAGAGACACCCTCGCAAGCAGTTCACTCTTAATGTTACGATATGGAGCTACAAAGCTGGTATTTGAAATGCAGGAAGTTAGAATTTATGAAGGAAAATCTGCGTTCTGAAAAGGACCTCGCATTTTTTGTTTTAGCAAACTTCAGCCTTGAAAAACAATCATCTCTATCCCAAACTCTATCTAGGCACTAAGCCAACTGCTGAGGGAAGTGAACACCATGTATGGACAACCCAGGTTATGTAGCTTTTGAAAAACCCTGTATGAGATTCCAATCCCTCCCTTCTCTTACACAAACCACAGCCAGCACGTCGTTTACCACCTCTACGTGCTTGAGAGAGCACCTTTCTGCACTACGCTCCAGGTGTCAGGGTGCCAACGGCTCCCTGGTGGTCACACAAGACCGAAGTCCCAGAACCCCCGGGGCTGACGAGAGAACTCTCCCGTGGTTCCTTTCAGGCCAGCAGGGAGAGGATGGAGTTACTTTATTAAGGGAATTATTAACGGAACTGAAAGTATCATCATGTCTCTTTATAAATCCATGGTGCACGTTGAATGCTCTTTATAAACCCATGGTGCACCTTGAATGCTGCGCCCAGTTCTGGTCCCCACACCACAAAAGGATGCAGAAAAACTAGAAAAGGTCCAGACACGGGCAGCAAGGATGGTGGGAGCTATGGAGGAGCTTCTGTGTAAGGAGATACTAAAGAGGCCAAGCCTGTTCAGTTTAGAAAGAGAAACCCTTAAGGGGAGCACAGGACAAGGGTTTACAACTAAATGCCGAAGTGAAAGCCAATAGGGATTTATAGAATCATAGAAGTCGGGTCAGAAGGGACCTTGTAGATCTTTGAGTCCGACCCCTGCCTGGGCAGGAGGGAAACTGGGCTCACGTGACCCCAGCCAGGTAGGCATCGAGCCGCTTCTTAAAGACCCCCAGGTTAGGAGCCAGCATCACTTCCCTTGGAAGTCGGTTCCAGATCCTAGCCGCCCTGACTGTGAAGTAGTTCCTACGGATGTCTAATCTGAACCTACTCTCCAACAACTTGTAGCCGTTATTCCTTGTTTTCCCGGGGGGCGCTAGGGGAAGCAAGGTCTCCCCCAAACCCTTCAGGTCCCCCTTAGTGAGTTTATAGACTGTCACAAGGTCCCCCTCAGCCTTCTCTTGTGAAGGCTGAACAGGTTCAGGTCCCGTCGCCTCTCAGCGTAGGGTCTACCCTGCTGTCCCCGGATCATGTGGGTGGCCTCCTCTGGACCCTCTCCATGCTGTCCACATCCCTCCTGACGTGCGGCGCCCAGAACTGGACACAGTACTCCAGCTGTGGCCTGACCAGTGTTGCGTAGAGGGGGAGGGGGATTTATTATCTACTCTCTCTCACAATACAAAAGCTAGGGGTCACAAAATGAAACGAGTAGGCATTAAGTTTAGAAAGAACAAAACAAAGGTTTTTCACCCAACATGTCACTGAAGCGTGGAACTCGTCGCCACCAGATGCGAATTCAAAATGGGCTGGGGGACATTCCTGGAGGAAAGGGGCATCAGTAGCTGTTGAATATGGGAGTGAGGGATACAACCCCTGAATCAGACCTTCCTAGACCTTAAATGCTGGAGGCTGCAGGGGGAGAGGAACAGGGAGGAAAAATCCCTGGTCCTTCCCTGTTCACTCTCCCTTTCAGCGTCTGCTGCCTGCCGCTGTCTGACAAGGACCTGTTTGTTACGCCGTGGGGGACGTGCGGGCTTACGCTCACAAGGAAACACTAGAAACTTCCCTTAAAAGTGGGGGCAACTGGAAACATAACCGACTTTGGGGGACAAATAAGCAGTAAGCAGGGAAAGGAGCGCGGTCACGAGCTAACAACAAGGGATCTGGAAGGGAACACCGAGCAGACCACGCCGGCCCCAAACGAGTCGAGCCCGTGGACGGCGGCCAGCGAAGATCTGCTCGGAGACTTGAGCGGGGCAGCGAGAAGACGACGGCTCCGGTCACCCAGCTCCTCCTGGGAGCCCCGTGAGCAGCGAGGAGCCGCCCATACCGCTTGCCGCCGAAGCTGGGCCGCTCGTCGTCGGAGTCGCGCTCGGCCCAGATGCCGTAGGTGGCCTCCTCCTTGGTCTGCCGGTGCCGCTGGCGGTTGGGGTTGAACTCGTTCTGCAGGTCCCAGTCCGTGATCTCGAAGCTCTCCATCTCCACCTCGCCCTCCTCATCCTGCCCGTACAGGTGCGACA